GTGTTGTCATCTACGACGTGCAGCGATGTACTGCGAGAAGCCCATGCGTTTTGAACATAATGCTGTGATGCGCTTTTCGTACCATGTCTGATTAAGTGCCGTGTGTCTCTGAACTGTGCTCACGCTTGCGTCGCGCCCGTCTGCGTTGTCGCGCTCGTGGGCGCTGTCGAAACCGAGCGCGCAAACGACCGAGATGAGGATTGTTGAGATCATTGGCGAGCGGGCGATTGTGGGCGACATGTGCGCTCTCGAATCCACGCACCTGGGCGGCGGCGGCGCGCGCGCGGGGGGGGGGCAAGGGCCAGGAAGTGCAGGAGGAGCCAGGAATTACATTCAGGAGCGAGTTGTAGGTAACGGCTTCGTTCTTTAGTTGGGCCCCTTGGGCATTGCAGCGAAGGCCTCGATGGTGTTCCAGAAACCGCCCAACGCCTCCCGAATATCCTGAGGGGCCCCGAGTCTGCGCACCCTGGCCGACGCACAAGCACTCTGAACCTGACTGGTGCACAAAGCTCGATGGGATGGATTTCTCTTCCTTGGCCTGCGGCCCAGGGTCCAACGCGCAACGAGCCTGTGGGTAAAAACACTGAAACAATTCAAGCGCCCCCGCTGTGCTCGCCCCCCCAGGTCTCGAGGAAGCAACCTGCAGGAACGGCGAAAAAGCTGCGGCATAGGCGATGAGCACGCGTGCGAGATTTACGGCCCCAGAGGTGGAAGCTGCGAGCTTGGCGCGCAGAAACGCGCGAGGTGACGGCTGCGAGGAGGACGGAGACATAAGTGCATGCAAATCCCGCTGCGCAGCACGCATAGCCTCGATGAGGATGGCCGACGGTTGACTGCAGAGACACTGCCAAAGCCCAACCGCGAATATGGATGCAACCAACGTCGAATGTGGGCCCGAGGCTGGCAGATCTGAGCGCACCGCGAGCTGAGAGGACCACCCGGTGATCAACTGAAGTTCTCGAACAAACGTTGCCGAAATCAGCGGGCCAGGACATGTAGTGCCGTTCGCTGCTATCCGTGAGCTCGAATACCATCATCGCTATCTGATTGAAGCGTACCAGCTACACATGGAACGCCGAGAGCCAGGAAGGCGAGGATGGGCAGGGCCCGACCTTGCTTATTTTTAGTTGTGCGGTCGAGCCTGCGAAGCATAGCTAGAGTGCTCGCAGCAAAAAGTTCGATGCATGTCCAATCGACGCGCCCACCAAAAGACAGGGCATTGTAAACATATCGGAATTCTGAATGAGTGACGCTGCTACCATCGCGACGCCCTCGTGGCCCCTACTGTTCGCGATCGTGGGACCTTCGCCACGCATGGAGAGCATCTAGGTAGATCGTCGTCTGCTGGAATCGCCAGTGGGTCAGCTGGATCTCCTGGCGTGTCCTGTATAGGGCCCGCGTCGTGGTATTGAAATCCCGGTGCGTCATCCATACAAAGCGTTCGATCCGGGAAAATCGGCATAGCCATCGTGAGTCTGACGTGATGAAGTTGGCGATGCGTAGAGCTCCCTCACGATCAACAAACACACGATCACGTTCCTGCTGCACGCTGACAATATGTAGGGTATGAATCACGTAGACCAAAGCGCGGTAAATGCAGCCGTTTGACGGTAAGCGCCCCGCCCCCCCCTGTATCACACTAGTGATGAATAGCTGTTAAGCAAGATTGGTTTGAGTCCACCTTTGAGTCCCCACGGGGGCTTCAGGGTCTCGTCGTTTTCCCAGTTCAAGCGGGCGCCGATCCACCGAACAAGAGCCCGTGCGTATATGCGCCGACAAGTCGGCTTGAGCGAGCTCCTAAGTCTCTGCTCGGAAATCTGAACATGAAATGTCTGTGGCGTGAGAAGCGGCACTGAGATCAAATGGCACTGATAAGAATTGGTGCTACACAGCCCGTTGTTGCTCAGGTCCAGGGGGGGGGGGGGGGGGGCAAGACGCGGAGAGAGGCAGAAGAAACGAGAAGGAGAGAAGGAGATATGGAAAACGAACACACAATTCAAGACTGTGGTCTGCCTCAAAGTGGCTCGGCCGTCGTGCGGCTTTCCCTGCGCTAGCACGAGCTGCCGCAATGGTGCGCATCTGGATTGGTTCGCTACGCTTATATGTGTGTGTGTGCAAAGTAAGGACACGTCTGAACTCTGTGAGAACTCTAAACGAATCCAATCATATGTTGAAAAAAGGAAGCACACACACGCGCGCACGCGCGCACGCGCGCACACGCACACACACACACACGCACACGCACACGCACGCACGCACGCACGCACGCACGCACGCACGTACGCACTTTTTGCGTCGGCGGCTAGGCACAGTGACAGCGCTGGCGGAAGAGCAGAAGTAGGACATACTGATGCAAATTAAGCCGCAACGCGCGCGCGCACGCACGCGCGTTTCTTTTTTCCCATCCAGGGGGGGACCAGCGGCAAGAGCGGGTGACAAACAGAGCGCGGAAGAGCCGGCGGAGGAGGAGGGGGACAGGGGGGGCGCAAGCAGCGCGCCTGGCGAACACGCGGGACAGTGGCAGCCCACGGCGGCCACCGCTAATTCACAAAATTAATCAGGCGCGCCAGGGCGCTCGAGCAGGCGACGTCGCACCGCCGCCCGCCACGCCGCATCGCGGCCCCCGGCGCGCGGGGCGTCCAAGAGCAGCAGGCTGGCCGCCCGAGGCGGCAGGTGCGGCGCCCATCCGCCGCAGGGGCGGCATGCGAGGCGCTCCCACTGCGGGGTCCAGCACCCGCGCGCCACGCAAGCCACCCAAGCGGGGCCCTGGGTCAGGAGGCGACGTGCCCCTGCCACGCGTAGCCGGCGAACAAAGCCCTCGCCGCGGCGGCCGCCCCCGGGCCTAGCTCCGCGCGCGCCGGCTCCGGCCTCGCCCGCGTGGCCGCAGCTGCCGCCACTGCCGCAGCGTTGTCTGCCACGCGAGGTGCGCGGCGGCGGCGATGCCCCGCCTGCGTCCAGCGCCGGCGTACTCGCGGGCCGCCTGGCCTGTGCTCGTGGTTGGCATTGAAGGCCTCGGGCTCCACCGTGGCGAGCACGCGCTGCACCGCTGTGAGGGCTTCCAGCTGCCGCTCGCGCTCCTGGCGCAGCGCCAGCGGGGGCAGCCGTCCCCGCGAGGCGATCGGCCGCGGCGTTCCTGGAACGGTCCTTCACGGGCCTCCGCGGCGTCGAAGTGCCCCTTGACCCACCGCGCGGCTAGCGCGCCGCTCCGGCAGAGAGGAACCAGCGGCTCCCAAAGGCCAGCGTGGGCCCAATCTTCGGGGGACGCCCCTGCCCTGATCGCTGCGACGCCATTGCTGACGAAGCGGGAGTCGGTCACTATCTCGACGGCCCCGCCGGCCAGGCTGACGGCATGGACCGCTGCCGTGAGCTCGGCACGCTGCGCGGTCTGCGCGCTACAACAGGCCCATGGTGTTCCTGGGGGCCCGCGCCCTAATCCAGCACCACTCCCCGCCCTGCCCTGGCGAGGAGGGGGTCGGTGGGGTGCGAGCAGCCCCGTCCGTCCATGCGCGCGCCTGGGGCAAGCCCGCGGCGGTGGCCAGCACGGCTGGGCGCGGCAACGGCCATTGCGCCTGGTCCGCCAGTGCAGCTAGCTGCACGTGCTGCGGCAGCACCACCGTGAGCGCCGTCTGGGCCGGCAGCCGCGCGCGGGCCGCGGCGCGCGATGGGCCTCCAGGGATCAGCGCAGCGGCGCGCACGGGCTCCCAGCGGGGGTCTGTTCAGAAGCGGTGCTCGAAATCGTCGCACTCCGCGCCGCAATGAGGGCAAGCTGCAGGGCGTCCCCATTTTGCGGGCACCGCCTCCGTGACGACGTCCCCTGCGAGCACGGCGCGAAGGGCACCCGCGGCGTCAGTCGCCAGCTCGCCGCTCTCGAGGAGCCGCCAGGTGGCCCACCTGTCAACTCCAGCGTGCAGGTGGCGAAAGCCGGCGCGCCGCTGGGCCACCTCGCGGGCCTCTCGTGTTGCCCATGCCTGGAGTAGCACCGTGCGCGTGTCGGGAAGCGCACGGTCTGCTGGGCGCCAGCCTCCAGGTGCAGTTGCTGCCCAAGTCCAGCACTCGACGTCGACCCCCAGTTGCAGCTCAGCCATGGCTCAGGTTGCCGCGTCGACAAGGTCGAAGCCACGGCCGTGTCCCGATGCCATGGCTCCGGCGGCTCGCCTCCGCAGATCGGCTGGAAAGCGGCGCTTCTGGATGGTTTTGGCGACCTGCCACAATGGCGCGATGACCATCACTGCCGCCGGGTCAAGCCTCCAGGACGGCGCCAAGACGCCGAAAACGATTTCCGCGGCCGCCCGGAATCCCCCTCGGCAGACGGCGCGCCGTGTGGCGGCGCGGAGCCCAGCCAACTCGCGCGCTGGAGGGCGCCCGCACGCCGCGCCGGAAAGACCAGCGGCGGTGCCCGCGGCGGCGCCCAGCAGGCATCGCTGGCGAAAACTGACTAGCAGCCGGCCGAGCCTGGCAAACCGTCGCTGCGCGACGACCAGCCTGCCAGCGGAGACTGCGCAGCCACGCGCCCTGCCAGCAGTGGCAATAACCCCGAGGTCCTTGAAGTCCGCGCGCGCCTGGATGCCAGGTGACTGCTCCGCCAACCACTGTCGCAGCGCCTGGCGGCTTGCGAATTGGCGACTTTTGGTCCGGTTGAGCCTCCACCCCCGTCGGCGGGTACTACGTAGGGCGGGCCACGCCTATTTCAGTAACCATCTGGCCTTGGAGATGGGGGGTCAGGATGTGGCTGCTTCCAACAACGGAGCCGCCCTCCCCTTCTTTCCGCGGGCTTCCGCCGACCTTCCGCCGCCTTCCGCCGAGGTAGAGACGGCAACCCCTGCGACCCTCGAAACCGATGCCCTTTCTGGACCGCCTCCTGTGGACGCCTAGGGCCGTGCAAACCTGCGTGGGCGGTGCCACCCGCGCACCTCCACGCCTGCGCACGCGCACCCACACGCGCTCGCGCACGAGCACGCGCCAGGAGGCGGCGCGCCAGAGGCCGGGGGTCGGCGCGCCGCCTGCGGGACGCCCTGCAGCCGCCGCGCGTCCGCCTCTCGCGGGCGAAACCCCGCCGCCGTCGTCGTCGTCGTCGTCGTCGTCGCCGTCGTCGTCGTTGCCATCACCGCTGCCGCTGCCGCCGTCGTTGTCGGCGTCGTCGTCGCCCGTGCCGCCGCCGACGTCGCCCGCCGTCGTCATCGCCGACGTCGCCCGCCGTTGTCGTCGTCGTCGTCGTCGTCGTCGTCGTCGTCGTCGTCGTCGTCGTCGTCGTCGTCGTTATCGCCGTCGGCGTCGTCGTCGTTGTCGTCGCAGCTGGTGTCGACATCCGCCGTCGTCATCTTCGTCGTCGCTGCCGTCGGCGTCGTCGTCAGCGTCGACGGCGACGCATGGGCCGACGACGACGACGCCGACGACGCTATGTCTGCCAACAACTTCGACACCATCGTTCTGCAACACTTCTCGAGCCTGATCGATGGGCCTCGGGGGCCCGAAACCGGAAGAAAAAGTTTGGAGCGTATGAAATGCATCGCCCAGATGTTAGGCATGGTCACACCACCGAATGGTCACTGTTACGCGCAGACCTCTGACGCCGTGCTGCTGTCCAGCAGCATAGTCCCCCCGAACCGATCTATAGACCGCTTCCCCAGGACTGGTTTTGAATCCCGCCCAGTTTTTGCTGACGGCCCTGGGCCCAGTGAGGGGCCCGCGAGGCCGCGCATATGGGAAGAGCTCAAATCATGATCTGCCACGGCGCGAGGAGGTCTCCGGCGTCCTGCTGCGGATAATGACTCGGGTGCCCGGAGGCCGCTCGGGACGACTCGGGCCCCCCAGGCATGCTCCCGGGGAGGTGCAGCTGCTGGAAGCGCATCCCGAGGCTCGGAAACCGCTGAAAAGCGACGAGAATGTCTGACCCCCCCCCCGTAGTGGTCTGGCCACGGCGCGAGGTCTGCAGTCGGATGCTCAGCCGATCTGGGGGAACACAGAATGGCACAAACAGAAACCTCCGGAGGACCACGCGGATTGCTTGGATCGGCGCTGGACCCCCCCTCCCTGGCGCGCGGAGCGCGCCAGGGGTGGCGCGGCACTGGAGGCGCGGAGCCAGGGGGTTCCAGCGGCGCCGATCTAAGAAGTCCGCGCAAAAATTCAGGTTTACGCGCCTCCGAAAATTCAGGTTTCCGCGCGCGGGCCTCCTCCACGTGCCTTCCCTCCCTTGCCCCGCCGCCCTCTTCCGAGCAAGTCAGAACAGCCAGGCCCAAAACGATGGGCACGACGACCCGTTCTGCGGTGTGTCGGGGCTAACGCCGAGTCCCCCGGCCAGGGGTTCTTCGAGCGACGTGCGGATAGCCCAAGGGGGACACAACATGTATTCAGGGGCGCCGCTCCCCAACGAATGCGTGCAAGGCCCGTCCCTGGGGTAGACGCTCCCCACGCGCGGGATCTCCTCTGCCCGGCTGCCGTCGTTGTTGCCCTCCCCGTCGCCCGTGCCACCGCCGACGTCGCCCGCCGTCGTCATCGTCGTCGTCGCTGTCGTCGTCGTTGTCGTCGTCGCTGCCGTCGTCGTTGTCGTCGTCGTCGTCGTCGTCGCCCCCGGTCGACGCTCCCCGCGCGCGGGCCTCCTCTGCCTGGCTGCCGTTGGCGGGTCTGCCCGCGCGCCCAGGCCCCCTTGCCGGGGCCGCCGCGCCGTGCTGGGCCTGGCCCTTCGCCGCAGCGAGGCGTGCTGCGCCCAGGGCCAGGGCCAGCAGGAGCTTCTGCATGGCCATGTGCTGCTCGGCGGGCCGCTCGATCGACGACGACGACGACGGCTGCGACGACGACGGCGACGACGATGACGACGATGACGACGAAGACGATGACGACGACGACGACGACGACGACGACCACGACGGCCACGACGACGACGACGACGACCACGGCGGCCACGACGACGATGACGACCACGACCACGACGACGACGAAACCGACGACGACGACGACGACGAAAGCGACACGGGCGTGCCGGCGGTGGGCCGCTGCGGCTGATCGCGCGAGCGCGGGGCGCGGAGGAAGGGGGGAGACAAGTCGCATAGATGCATTGCATTGTCTGTAGCAACATTCAGCGACACAGCCTACGATCACACAGCATGATCACACAGCATTGCATTGTCTCTTCAGCGACATCGCAGCCTACGATCACACAGCATGATCCATTGCCCATTCCTTCACACAGCATGATACATTGCCCATTCCTACAGAATCAGGCCTGCAAAGACGAATCGTTTGTCGAACATGATCGACCCACGAACCCGGAAAGGAATATAGAATGCAAGGCACGGCAACGCTTCAAAGACACCTGATTGGGCGACGGGCTAGCGTTGTGGATCGAGTCCTCCTTTGCATCCGAGTCCTGACCGAACTGATCTGGATCTTAAGCTCGAGCTGCCTGAGCACATAGTAGCTGCCCAGAGCTGATTGACAGGAGGGCATGCCAGGAGAACGCGCCGCGGAGAATCCCAAAGGACGCGCCAAGCGACGTGCCAGGGGACGTGCCATGAGGACGCACCGCGGACGTGCCAAGGTGACGCGCTACGGAACGTGCCAATGGACATGCCGCAGGACGTGCAAAGGGGACGCGCCGCGCGACGTGCCTAGGGGACTCGCCACGGGACGCGCCACGGAGCGTACCAAGGAACGTTCCAGGTTGAAACGCTGAAAGCATCGATCTTGATGTACTGTGTCGAGGGATGTGCTGGGCTGCGCCCTATTTCATTGCAATGTGCCATGCCGCGATTGTGCTCTATAGTGTTGTGGATCGAGTCCTCCGTTGCATCCGAGTCCTGACCGAACTGATCTCGATCTTAAGCTCGAGCTGTCTGAGCACATAGTCCACGTAGTAGCTGCCCCAGCGCAAATTGACAGGGGGACATGCCAGGAGGGCGCGACGTGCCAAGGGATCGTGCCACGGGGGCGCACCGCGGGACGTGCAAAGGGGACGCGCTACGGAACGTGCAGGGGACAAGCGTCGTGCTGGAGGCCTGGACACGTAAAAACACGTGGTCCTTGCTCGGGGCAGCCATGTTAGATACCCCCCTGGGTGGCCTGGACACGTAAAAACACGTGGTGCCAGCTCGGGACAACCATGTTAGATACCCCCGTGGGTGGCCTGGACACGTAGGAACACGTGGTTCCAGCTCGGGGGGCATGACAAAACACGTCGTTCCAGCTCGGGACAAGCATGTGAGATACCCCCCCTGCGTTACCTGGATACGCTGAAGTTGCGCTCCCGCTCGAGACATTTTCGCAATGTCTTCCCTGGAGAGGCCCCCGAAGCGCAACCCCCTGTTCAGAGCAAGAAAACATAATTTTTCTGTACTGGGACATGTGTTTGGGTAGCGCTTTTCGCCCCCCCGTACGTTTCCGCATAATTCGGCGTTGGGCCCGACGCCATGTTGCATACCCCCCTGGGCGGCCTGGACACGTAAAAACACGTGGTTCCAATTCGAGACAATCATGTTAGATACCCGACTGGGTGGCCTGGGCACGTAAGAACACATGGTGCCAACTCTGGGCAACCATGCTAGGTACACCCCTGGGTGGCCCGGACACGTTAAAACGCGAGGTGTCATCTCGGGGCAACCATGTTAGATGCCCCTCTGGGTGACCTAGACACGTAAAAACGTGTGCCAGCTCGGGGCAACCATGTTAGATACACCCCTGGGTGGCCTGGACATGTTCAAACACGTGGTCCTTGCTCGGGCAACCATGTTAACACGTAAAAACACGTGGTGCCAGCTCGGGACAACAATGTTAGATACACCCCTGAGTGGCCTGGACACGTTAAACACGTGGTCCTTGTTCGGGACACTCATATTCGATACCCCCTGGGTGGCCAGGACACGGAAAAATTCGTGGCTCCAGCTCGGGACAATCATGTTAGATACCCCCCTGCGTGGCCTGGATACGCTGAATTTGCGCTCCCGCTAGAGACATCCTCGCATTGCTTTCCCTGGATAGGCCCCCAAAGCGCCACCCCCTGTCCAGAGCAAGAAAACATCACTGGGATACGTGTTCGGGTAGCGCTTTTCGGCCCCCCCGTGCGTTTTCTGACAATTCGGCGTTGGGCCCGACGCCGTGTTGGATATCCCCCCTGGGCGGCCTGGACATGCAAAAACACGTGGTTCCAATTCGGGACAATCATGTTCGATACCTCCCTGAGTGGCCTGGACACTTGAAAACACACGGTTCGAGCGCAGGGCCACCACATCAGATACCCCTCCTGGGTAGCCTGAACACGTAAGAACACGAAGTTCCAGCTTGGGGCCACCATGTTAGATACACCCCTGGGTGGGCTGGAAGAAACACGTGATTCCAGCTCGGGACTACCATGTCAGATACCCCCCTGATGGCCTGCACAAGTAAAAACTCACGGTTCCAGCCCAACCAGGGGGGATATCCAACATGCGGTCGTCTGAGGCGCCAGCGACGGACAACCATGTTGGATACCCCCCTGGCCGACCTGGGCACGTGAAAACAAGCATTTCGCCCGAGACATCGTCTGAATTCTGGCCCCCCACGAGGCCCCCGCTCGAGACATCCCCCAACTCTGCAACACCAGCGTTTCGCTTGGATCACCCTCAACAAATTCTGGAAAACAAGCGCTTTGCTCGAGACATCCTCAACAATAATTCCGCCGGCCCACCTCGACCTCGAAAATCATCAAGAAAAGAATCCGCCGGCCCACCTCAGTCAGGGCACCGGGGACAGCTTACAAGACTAAAAGAGAACCCTGGGCCCGCGCCCTTTCCGGGACAAAAATGCAAGAGCTTCACAGATTGAGGGCGGGTGGTTTTCAAAATGTGGCTCTCGCCCGAGCGCGGCACACATTCGTAGTAAAATATTGCAAGAGCTTCACGGGTTGAGGGCGGGTGGTTTTCAAAATGTGGCTCTCGCCCGAGCGCGGCGCACACTCGCTTCAAGAGTTGAAAAAGTTTCACGTATTTCCATCATCAACGTGTCAGAAATAGTGTTTGGAATGGGTTCAAGATTATGCGGGTGCAACAGTTATGCTGATTCGCTGGGTGTTCTGGCACGATTCAGGATTGCCAAGACGCAACAGTCAGGTTGATCCGTGGCGTTGTGATCCCGAGAACAATGCTTTGACAGGCTTCAGGGTTTTCATACGGTTGTCTTCCAAAGAGCCCGTCCCTTCGATGGAAATGAGCCGTTCTAGGGGCCTATGAAGAGGGAGCTTGGTGGGAGGGTTTATTCCAACATCGTTGATGACTCTTGGGTTTACACTGGTCCTCCTCCTCCTCCTCCTCATCATCATCATCATCGTCCTCCTCCTCCAATCCCTCCTCCTCCTCCTCCTCCTCCTTTTACTCCTCCACCTCCTCCTCCTCCTCCTCCTCCTCATGTTCCTCTTCCTGCTCTTCCTCATCGTGATTATCCTCCTGATCATTCGCTTCGTCCTCGAGCGTAGCCGGGAAAGAGGTTCGCAGTCTCACCTCCGCCAGCGGCCATCATCAGAGCAACCATCGAGCAACGGCCACAAACGGCTCCCATTGCCTGTGGCTGAGCGTGCTGGCTCGCTCAGATTGCTTATGGCTCAGATTGATTATTGATCCCCTCCTCCGACTCCCTCTGCTCCTCCTTCCCCCTCTGGGATGATGGAGGATGGCCGTGTGTTTTCCCTTGTGGCTGTTGTTTGCAGCCCCGAACCTGGGCTGTGCCCTGCCAATAGCGCGTGCATCTCCGGTCAGAGCTCAACGGACTGAGCCACTCGAGTGCCGCGACCGACCGACCTCCCCCCTCTGATCACAGTGTCCGTGCGAATGACGCGGTGAGGCGGCACAAGACACAAGAACGATACGTATCAAGGCATTCCAATCGGAGGTCCTACAAGCATGTTGGCTGGGGGGACAGGAACAACAGGAGGGACCGGAGAGGCGGAACGGGAGGGAAAGATGGCGGGGTGGAATGAAGGAAGGAGGGGGAAACAATATACACAGGGCGAGGCCAAGTGTGGAAGGATTGAGAGGTAGTTTGAGAAACGGGGGGATTGGAAGAGGAAGGACAAGGATGGAATATTCGGGAGGGGGCAGGGGAAAGGAGAAGGGGAAGGAATTGAGGGGCGGGGGGTAGTGAGAGGGGACAAGGAACGGATAGTAGGTAGTAGTATGGAGCGAGAGGGGGAAAGGATGGGTAGGAGGCATGGGCGGGGGGAGGAGGGGAAGGACAGAAAGGACAGGGAGACTAAGGGAGATTCGAAGGTTGCTCAACCGCGGATGCGCTCGGCACAGAACGTTCACGTGTGTGGGGGGGGCGACTCACCACCGCGCTCCACGCGGCCCTTCAGGCCCGAACAGCGATGGAACCCCCGCTGCCCGATGCCGTGCGCAAGCAGAAAACTGCGCCGTAATGAGAAATCGCAGGAGAGCCCAGCATCGAATCGATCAGTCGCATCGGCGATCGACATGAATCGGATCGACGGACATCGGCATCCGAATCGGGAGAAGCCGCATCGGCAGACATCGGCAGGCCAGTAGGCTTCCACTGGATCGAATCGGAGGAATCGCCATGAGCCCGGAGATCGCGGCCAGAACCCGGGGCCCGGTGCGCCTCTCTGACTCCTGCGCGCGCGAGTCTTCCAGCCGGATCGATCCGCTGGGGCACTGGGGCCCGAGACAGAGGTCGAGAGTTCCGTTCGCAAAAGGTTTGCCTCCGACGCCCTCCCACAAAGAGAGCCCGCCCGACCATCCTTCCCCCTTCCCGGGCTCGCCCTTTCGCCCAAGGTCGCGTTTTGACGGCCCCAGGGCCCGAAGCGCGGTCCAAATGGAGCGGATACGTGCGCCATGCTCATTCTGAATGCAGGCTGTCTGCGTGCCCCCGAGGCCTCCGGAGGTCTCTGGGATCACTGCGGGAGGTCCCCGCTGGCTTCTGAGACTCGATCCTCGGAGGCCCCCAGAAGGGCCAGCTCCACCTCTCGCGTGCGCAGCGCACCTCCGGCAGTCTTTTGAAAGCCCTTGAGGTCTCAGCTTCATCGTGTCCTCCCACTTCTCTGCCTTCTTTGCTTCCTCCGTCTCCTCCTGCTCCTCCTGCTGCTGAGGGCGGTCGATTCACGAACGGCGAAAGCCCGCGATGATTGAGATGGCTCGAATGCAGCCCGCGGTCACGGGGGTTAAGCCGGAAGAACGAGGCGGGGAAGAGAGGAGGGCTGGAAGGACAGCTCTCTTCCTGCGCAGCAGAGGGACCGCCCTTTGGCCTCAGCGCCCTCTGACCTCCTGCGGTGCGGGACCGCCATGCAGGTGCAGACGAGCGCTGCGACGAATGTGTCTTGATCGCTGTGCGTCGACCCCAGATCCTCAATCTTCGATCCTCGAGGGGGGGGTAGCTCCACCCCGCAAGCGCGCCGACGCGCGCCTCCCACCGCCGGCTCGCGGGGAGGGCGTTTCTCACGCAGCCGGCGCTGCCGTCCCGAGACGCGGCCCAGGGCGGCGCCTCAAGTTGTGCCGCGCCTACGGGTCGCCGCGGCTGCCGAGAAAGACCCTATCTCCTCCTCCTCCTCCTCCTCCTCCTTTTTCTTCTCCTCCTTCTCTTTCTTCTCCTTCTCCTTCTCCTCTTCCTCCTCCTTCTCCGTCCTCCTCCTCCGTCATCCTCCTGCCCCTCCGTCCTCCTCCTCCGCCTCGCCTCCTCCTCCTCCTCCTTCTTCCTCGAGCCTTCCCCTCTCCCTCCTCCTGCTCCACCGTCACCCCCTCCTCTTTCGCTCCTGGCCCCGTCCTCCTCAATCATCCCCCCCCCTTCCCTCCTCCTCCTCCTCCTCCTCCTCCTCCTCGTCCTCCTCGTCCTCCTCCTCCTCCTCCTCCTCCTCCTCCCCCTCCTCCTCCTCCTCCTCCTCCTCCTCCCCCTCCTCCTCCTCCTCCTCCTCCTCCTTCTCCCCACCCCGCTTCACACCCCTTTCCCCGAAACCGTTCTTTCTTCTCAGTCATGGACTGGGGGCGCGAGAGGCCTTAACTATCAGCCCCCTGCTCCTCAGGATGACTACTCGTACTACTTGATCGTCGGCGGTCCGCCGTCGTCGCCGCCGCCCGCAGTCCGTCGTCCCCCCCTTTCCCTTCCATCGAGCCCGCCAAAGCGGACGCGGAGGGGCCGACCCGCGAGTGGCGCCACCTCTGCAGGACGGCGCCGGGATAGCCCCGATTTGTGGCTTTGGTGTCAGTGCCTCGCCGGGCGCTCGGATCAGGATGCAACTCCTGGGCGATTGAATTCAGCATCGGCCCAGGTAACTGCAGGGTGGCGCCAGGGCAGCCCCGAATGTGTGGCTTTGTTGTCAGTGCCTCGTCAAATGCTCGGATCTGGATGCAACTCCTGGGGGGTGAAATTCAGTATCGCCACCGGTGTATCCCTTGACCGGAACCTGGCCGAATCCCGCTCGATCCTGGGCACAATCCGTCCGAATCCAGATTACTGGCCCCTTAGTTTGCCTTGAGCGGGCGTGACCGCCGCAAAGCTATTCTCGCGAAGACCTCCGAGGAGTTGCCTCCTCACTGGAGGAGGGACAGACCTTGGCGCAGCGAGCGTGTCACGGCGGCGGTCGTGCCCACATCTGGGCCTCCTGGGGAAGACCGCAGGCAAATGGACAAACGGCCTGCAGGCGGGCCAAATCTCCATGAGACGATGATGCCTCGAAGCGAGGAGGATGACGAGGAGGGGGAGGATGACGACGAGGAGGACGACGACGAGGATGGCCTCCCTCGATGGCAGCCCGAGGCCGTGCGGGCCTGAGCCGCCCTCGTCGCTCGAAAAAGCCGCGGGAGCACACGGCGCGGAAAGCGCACGGCTGCGGGGGCCGAGAGCTCCCGCGCGCCGCATCGCACCCGGGGGGCTGGGGCGTCGGACGTCTGGGCGCGGAGGGGGCGGGCAGGCGGCGGGGAGGGCGCGGAGGAGGAGCGCGGAGAGAGGCGGGCAGCAGGCGCGGAGGCAAGCGCGGAGGGCAGCAGGCGTGGGGGGCCGCCACCGGAGGGCCCCCGTCTGAACCGCTTCAACAACGGGCCTCGTCGTCTGGACTCGGGCCCTCTGGGGCCCTCGCGGATCGATCCGGCTGGAAAACATGTGCGCAGAGACATGGGTCTGGGGATCCGGTGGCTACTTTTGCGGGGATCCGGTGGTCTGGGGATCCGGTGGGACAGAGGCGGAGGGGAGAGACTGAGAGGACGAGGTGTGAAGGAGTCCGAGGGGATTGTAAGGCTCCTCACACAAGCCAGCACCATGACACAAAAACCAAGCTCTTTGAATATAACGCGCGGGAAGGGGAATGAGGAGGAGGAGGCGGAGGATGAAGGAGTAGAAAAAGAGAAGTGGATGAGGCGAGCACGAAACCGAGGAGGATGAGGCTGGTAATGGGAAGCAGGAGGAGGAAGAGGATGAGGGGAGCACGAAGCTGAGGAGGACGAGGAGGAGGAACGGGATGAAGCGAGCACATAGCTGAGAAGGACGTGGAGAAGGAGGATGCTGAGGAAGAGAAGGAGTGAGCAAGTGGCTGAAGAGGACGAGGCGGAGGAGAAGTAGGAGAAGGATGAGTTCAGCATGCAGCTGAGGAGGACGAGGATGACAAGGAGGATGAGGAGGAGAGAAGAAGAAGGAAACTGAGGAAGGGGAGGGGGGAAATAGGAGGATGATGATGAGGAGGAGGGCCCGGCCCGAGGACTGGCCCACGCATGACGTCGGCCCGCGTTCGCACGTCCTGATGGGAGGGTGCACCATTCTTGCGTGCACCATGTTTTTTTCACTCCAGCTGGCGCTGCCCATCTTCAGGAGGAAGAGAGGGCGACCGAGAAGGACGCGGAGCTGTGAGACACATGCGCACGCTGTCCGAGGAGCGCAGGGCGAGGCTGCACTTGCGCATCTGTGGCGCTACATTCATTGCAAGCCGTCGCAGCCTGGTACGCGACCGTGACGCGGTATTGCGATGCCCCCTGAGGCTATTGTTCGTGCTCATGTGCGTGTTGCACGCAGCTGAGCTGGCGCCAGACTATTGTGTCCGTGAGTGAAGGGAAACAGGCGGAGGAGAAGGAGGTGGATGAGGAAGAGGAAGAGGTGGAGGGCCCATACCTCCTCAAATTGCGAATCGCCTATTATCCCGACGGAAAGCTCTTGCCCGTTTCCGGCCTCCAAAGGCCCTCACTGGACGGACCGTCAAAACACAACTCGGAATGAAAACCGGGTTCCGCAGGAAAGAGGTCCACAGGTCCACGGTGCGAAAACATCACGACGTCGGAAATCTGGTTAGTGAGAGTAGCCGTGAGAAACGGATGCAGGGGGAGAGCATGGGCCGCCTCAGGCCTTCGCGTTGTCGTCGTCGTCGTCGTCGAAGGAGCTCTGCCCCGCCTGCCCCACCTCCTCGCGCTCCCACTCGTGGGTCTCGACGTTCCACACGATGCGGTCTGTGTCGCTGGGAGCGTCGGGCGGCTTGGACACGGCTTTCACGGAGATTGGACGGATCTTCATCTGGCCATCGAGCTGGAACTGCCACGCCCCCGCGTCCCTTGGGCACTGCGCCTCCTTGCCAGCGTAGGAGACAAAGTCCACGAACTGGTTGGAGTCGTACTTGCGCCCGATGAACCACATGACGTTGGGCTGAGAGTAGTACAGGTACAGAGGGCTGCCATTTTTCACTGTCTTCGGTATGACATAGATGGGCTTGCCGCCGTTGAACTTGACAGGTTTAATGTTCGTCTTAACGTATGTTCCGTCGATGTCCTGTTCGGGCTTCCCGATGAGCTTAGAGCCCGAAACCTTCATAAGGGCGGGGCACTCCTTGCAGGACTCCTTGCTCGCTGTTGCCCCGTGGCAGCAGTATCCTGTCTTCTTGAGCGCGTGCTGCAAGTCCTGGGACACGTTTTTGGAGTTCTCGCGGATGTCGCAGTAGTACTCTGACCACTTCGCGCACGACCCAAAATTTGTGTTCATGCACGCAATCTCAGGCGAGCCTGGTTTGCGGACGAGCTCGAGCAGCCTTCGCTTTGCGGACGTAGGCTTTGGATGGCCAGTGAAGTGGGCGACAACGGCATTGGCGCTGCAGTGGAACTCGCAGGCCTTCCTCTGACCGGGCTGGATGCCTAGGGTGTCGACGCAGTTGAACTCACGAGGGAATTCGACCACCATGTTTTCATATGCCGAATTAACCAATTCTTGATCGAGGATCTTCTCCCGTCTACGGTTGGCGACCATGACGAGCATATCCTTAAACACCTCCAGATTAGGCTTGTAGAACATCACTCCGCTGTTGTACTCGTCTTTGCAACCATCCTTGGCCATTGCGATGTGTCCATCAGGCAGCTCAGACGTGATCATCTCCGTGAGCCTACTGCTGAAAACGTACGTGTCCGAATCCAGGAAGAGAGCGCGACGGAAAGGCAACCGAAATGCGTTGATCTTCTCGAAACTGTCGTGCCACCGCCCCAAGAAAGTCGTGTCGCAATCCGCTCCGCAATACTCCCCCTCCCAGTTCGGAACAATGGCCAATGTCCACCCAGCGCTGATGAGGAGGTTTTGGTTCTTCACCTTCATGCCCTCGATGACCAGGGCAACCATGGGGTAGCCTGGCACGTGCTTCAGGATGGAGTGTCCAAGCATGACTGCCCCATCGATGTACGACAGGTCTCTCTTGCCTGCGAATGTGACTATGGCCGTTTTCGTCTCGGGGTTCTCGATGCCTTCGACTTCGAGCACGCGAGAGACATTCTGCTGCCACTCAGGGAGCTCAGACACTGGTGGGCTCGACGCACGTCCGCGGATGCTGTGCTTCGCCCTGTGTCGGTGGTTTCCCTTGTGTTTTCCCGAGAGATGCAGGGTCATGCTGCTGCCGACACTGGCAAGGCACAGCAAAGCCAGCATCTGCAGCCGGCAGCAGGCCATGGAGTCGTATCCTGGATAGGCCCGCGGGGGCGGTGACCAACGCTGTATGAAGTTCGGTTACGCGAAGATCAAAGCTTCGGTCTGGGAGCCAGTACGGATACGCAGGGGACTCCTCGATATACATATATATATACATATACACATGTGCATGTCTGTTGCTCGAGGGGCCCGGACGTCGTAGGAGGTCCCTGGGTTCCCTCGACGACTCCGTAAGCACAAACCAACAACAAAAAACACGCGGGTGGATTATAATGTGTAGAGGCCACGCGACGGAGACATATGCGGAGGGCCAGTGTGCCTTTCCATGCAAGATCCGAACGCTGGAATGACATGTGGGCACACGAATGTCCAACTCTCGCCCAGGCTGGCCACGTCATGTGCCCGCTTCTTGGTGCCAACCCCCATCGATCCTTCTCGTTCGGGGCTTAGGGGTGTTCCGGGAAGTCCCCGTGGTTTTCTCTCTCTCTCTCTCTCTTTCCTCAGAGTTGGTGGTCCCCGCTGCGACTGCGTTGGAAGACCCACTCCCAACCGGAACCCTTCTCCCTGCACTCCCTCTCGAACTGGGGAGTCCGATGTTAGGAGGCAAACTACTGGGAGGTGTTCGTCGGAAGGATTAAGAGGATTCAGCCCCATTGGGGGGCTGTTACGCCGGAGTGGGCCTCGGATTAAGCCGGGATAAGCGGGATTAAGCGGGATTAAGCCGGATTGAGCGGGATCAAGCGGGATTAAGCCGGATTTCGGACCAGGGCAAAATCAGAATTTGACCTCCCAGGAGTTGCATCCGAACCGATGGGACCGCCGAGTCGCTCGAAAGCGCACCGCCGCGCTCGCCCGCCGCCCGTGCGCGGGGCGCCGCGCACACCCGACCGCTGGCCTCCGGCGCCGCCGCCGCCCACGGCTGCGAGCCGCAGCGCTCGGGGCTTTGCGGCCCGACGCGGCGACAGAAAAGCAACGACTCGTTTCGTTGTTCTGTTGCTTGCTCGGGAGCGGGCAAGCGGAGCTCAGCACCTGCATCGGGAGCAACCAAATTCGCGTTCTGCCTGCGCCGCCCCGTTTGGCCCCCCCCCCCCGCGTCCGACAACGGCCCTGCGGGCGTCGGTGCCGCGCACAAGACCACCGGAGACAACGCGAAAGGATATTCAGCACATTCTTGTTCGACTCGTATCCCTGCTCATTATCGGCGCGAGCAACGCCGCCACTTTGAAGCTCTAGTCGGCCTCGAGGTAACTGCATTGGGCCGGTGGCGCCGAACCACGCTGCGAGGTCCCCCTGTCCGTCCGCTGTTGGGCCCACCGCGCTGCGAAATCTAGCGGCGCGCCCTCCGCCGCGCCGGGGCGCGTCGCGGCCCCCTCTCCTGACCGAGCGCGCGCCCTCCTCCGCCCGGGAGTGCGCTGCATTGCAGCGCGAACGGCTCATTGCAGCAGGCTCTGGAGCCAAACCAGCTTGCAAGCCGGACCCCTGTCCCTCGGCGCGCCCCACACTCGGGTGCGCGGGAGCACGCACCTCGGCGCCGACGGGGGGGGGGGGCAAGAATGGGGGTTGCGGGCGAGGAGGGCAGGCACGGGGCGCGAAATTGCCCGCCCAGGCGGGGGGCGCTGGAGTCTTGGAGGACTGGGGAGGCACAGCTCTCAGGCTTTGACGGCGCCTACTTGTCCTTGCCTCTTGTCCTCCCTCCTCTCGGCCTTCCGTCTTCTTCTTCTCCTTAGACATTGTCCCAGCCTTTCTCGACCAGCTGAATGGCCTTGTGGACTCCGTGCGCTCCCGTTAACTGCTGAGCCGTCGCCGCCCTGCCCCGGCAACAGAGTCGACCGTTAAGGGGGTCTGCTGAGCCGTCGCCGCCCTGCCCCGGCAATAGGCCCGTGGAAGGAATTCGCCGCGACGTCCCGGAACATCGGGCGGGTGGCAGTGGAGGGTGACCTCCATGGGGGTTCACAAGAAGGCCCTGCAAGAACCCCTTGAAGGGGCCCTTTTGGAGCCAGCAGGGGCTCAGAAGGGGCCCTTGAAGGGCCCTTTAGGGTCTTTTTCTTCACCCCCTTGAGGCCCCCCCCCAGTACCACCCGCCTGACCGTCGGCGCCGAGGCGCGTTCCCGTTAAGGGGGTCTGCTGAGCCGTCGCCGCTCTGCCCCGGCAATCCCTCGTCAAGGCCATCCTTAGAAGCCCGTGGAGGGAATTCGTCGCGACGACCTGCCACAAAAACGAAGATCCTTAACGGGGACTGCCCTCGGCGACTCCGAAGGGTATAATTTGCAAACGGTGTGGTTTGCAACCAGCACAGTGGGGTGCACCCTCGGGGGCGGACGAGGCACTCGACAGAGCTCTCCGCCGCGCCCCGAGGAGGCGCGATGAGAGGACAGCGTCGCGCCCCCCTGAGCCCCAACGGTGCCGATCGCACACCCCCGGAGTAACCACACCCTTTGTAAACCCCGATGCCCAGAACCCCTTGCCGTGGGAGCTGTTTGGGCCCCTCTGCCACGGGGCGTGGCTGCTAACGCTCGCCAGACGAGAGGGGCCCAGGAAGACGGTCGCAGTGCAGCGGGTCACGCCAGAGGTTCGGCTTCTGGCCCTCTGCATTATCTTCACCCTGCTCTGTTTTACCTCGTCCCCAACTCCAACGGCACTAAGAACGCGCATCCCCTCTTGTTGGCCCCCTCGCTCGGCTAGAGAAGCGCGTTGGACCCCTCCTCCCAGATGAATCCCCGCTTCAAAAACAACGCAGGGTCAGCCCCACTGCCCCTGGACACGGAAGCACCCCCGCAGCACCCCCCTGGGCACAAAAGCGCGCGCGCTCTGGGACAACCGTGCAGCTGATTGCTCAGTCGTTGTGCATATCAGCCATTCTCGGTCTGCCAGGGGGGAAGCGGTTAAGGGCCGGCAGGACGCTCTACTAGTGGGTCATGGGGTGCCGCTTGAACGACCCATACGGCGGACGAGCTATAGGACGAAACTCTAGGAAAGGGGGCAGGCTCGACTTGCAACTATGATCGGCGGCGACCGAGGGGGGAATTAAAACGGAGGACCTCTCAGAAGGCGACGGTGCTTCTCCGAAACCCTCTGGCCTTCCGATAACTTTTCATGGTCCTCAGAATCTTCAGAGAGGGCTCATAACATGTCTCAAAACGGCCGCAAGA